CATTTATAAATAACGTGATCTAATCGAAAAAACCTTTATTATTTGATGTGTGATGTTCATATGGATGTAGTGAACGTTATTTTGATGATACTATTTGACCTTTTGCACCAGGGTGACGAAGCATGAAACAACAGAGCACTATATTCCCTTCACTCCCTTAGTCACAAACTATATTTTGGTTTCACAACCACTAAAGGCATTGGGGCTCCGCCCCACCAAGTAGCTGGAGATGATAAATAATTTTTCTCATAAAATACTTTTCTGTACATTGTTTTGTTGTGTTTAAAAAAATGTAAAATATAACGTGAATTGACAAATGAACATACCATTTTAAGTTGTTCATATTAGAAACCGCTGCAACATCACAGTCTGATTTGTGCCTCGGGGAGGTCTTGGGGCGGCTCTGAAGGTGTTCGAGTGAGAGATGTGTGGTGCAACAGGAACGGAGTAACTCCGCCGGCGCCGCCATCCCCTCGCACCACTCCACACGAATGCACGCACACCCCCACTAAACACACACACGCACCCATGTAGGGTCTCGTTGGGGGGTCACTTGGTACCATGGGTTTTTACCCAAGGGGTACCTATCGGGGATGTCCCACGGTTTCCCATTGCCAGGAGATTGGCCGAGCCCCCCCAGGCCAAATGGCATTGCGGCCCCCGTGAATTGGCTTAAAATTGTATGGGCGCGACGAAGCTCACCTGGCTAACCGCAATGAGAAACTCACAGCACAGGGAGATATGACCTCAAGGGCAAATACTCCGCGATCCGCGCATAAGAGGAGGTGGGAGGGAAATTCCTCGACCCACTGCAGATGTGCATTCCGCGGGACGGCCACCCAGATCAAACCGGTTGAGTCTGGGGTGGGGAGAATGGGTGCATAGACAATGGATCGAGGCGTAATGGGAAGCAACGCTCCAGGTAGGGGTGGGGCATCGGTTTAAAATCGAAAGGTAGGTGCCAGATTGGCCGCGCAGGATAACACCACGTGACGCTGGATCTTCGGATTCCGAGGGCATAAAAGGAGGGAGCGGAAAAACCTTAAGCAGTTCTCCTGCAGCTGTTCAGCCACCCGGTCCGACTCCCAGCTGCTCGCAGCATTTGAGAGACGCTAGCGAGTGCTGCTACGACTCAACCCTAGGCAGAGACATCTCGGATCCTCGTCCCTCCGACTCCCACCGCGTCCGTGCGACACCGTGAGTGTGTCTGCGAGGATTGAATAGGGATAGGCTAGGCTCTGCTCGAGTAATATTTACTCCGGGTGACACAGGGTTTTCTATAGACGCGCCATTAATAAACTTCAGTTCAGAAGATCGGTGTAGTGTGATATCTGTGTGTGTGGGTGAACTTTGGCGTGGTGTCTGTTATTTTTAAGTGGAGCGACTGCATGCGGGCGGGATGCGTGAGAGATCGAGCGCGGGCTGCAGGGTGTCAGCGCGGGGTTGGTGTGTGATGTTCGCATAGATTACCATCTATACAACCATCATCGTTTCCTCGTGCTTGCGCTCGCGTGTGTGTTTGCACCGCGCTCTTTACGTGGCGTGTTTACACAGTAGAAATAGCCTTAATGGCGAGACGTGCACCCAGGGTCCTGCCCCAGGTCATCTCCTTTTCGTGTAGCATCAGTAGTGGTACACCATGGATTAAAAATTATCCACCGGAGGGTTGGGGTGCATATTCATACAGCCCTGTCCCAGCCGTCCCCTTCCCACTAGCATTAGCATCTGTTTGCACAGCAGATTAAGGCTTATCCACCCGTGGGTAGGGGTGCATATTCATACGGTTATTTCTAGCACTAGCCGTGGTGGGCAACGTGCGCCTGCAAGGGCGCGCACGCAGCCACCTCCGCATTAGTGCTGGTGTACGTGGGAGTGTGTGGGATAACTCCCAGGCAGTGGTGAGTCAGGCAGCGAGCCATGTCCCTCAGAGAGGGTGCTGGTGCGGGGGAGCCGATCACCCAATCGGTAGGGGCTCGGCGAGAAGTGGCCGAGGAGGAGGGTGGATGGGGTTGACTTCGCGCCCGGCCCGCTCACGGGGAGCGGGGAGGTGGGCGTCAGCCCCCACAGATGTCCCTACATTCAGTGCGATAAGCTTCGCATTTTAGCCACCCTGTTTGAGACCCATTCAGGGCAGTGAAACAGTCGCCCATGGCTGTAATGACGATGTCACAACGCTAGGTTGCACTGTGCAAATATAGCAGGTGAGTCTACGACGGTATGTGGCTGTTATTGTACAGTAGGCGGTGTCTTGGTTGCTTTGGCTAATTCATCCTTATGACAGTATCTCGGGGCAGCAAATAACACAAAATGGCCGAGGCAATTAAATATTTTATTTCTGGGATACTATTTTTCCAGGGGTGTACTTAACTCCGCGACTGGGGTACCATTAAGTCCGAAATCAGTGCTACTCCGCGATGTCAAAACGCAGCGAGAACGATTGCACTGAAACCCTGAATGCTCGTATGCACCATAGTGCATCGGGTACAGGTCGTCGAGATGAGCCGATTGCCGCATTGCCGACCATCAACAGACGAAAAATCACTGCATCACAGCCATAACGCAAGAGCCGGGGTACTGTGGTACCCCGGGGTACCGACATGAGGTTCAATTTGTAGAGTCGTGTCAGCTGATCTTTAATTGTTCTTTAGGCTTTTGGAAGTGTCAAAGGGGTTGTGTAGTGTGAACTTGAGGGTCATAAGGACAGCATTTTTTAGTGCTTTGTTGTTTTGTTTCGTATTGCTCATAAATGCCTACCGTTGGTAGATAAGACAGTTATATCACTTGTGAGGGAAGGCCAATAACATGACGAGGATTTTCTCAATTAGATCACCATATTTTCAGAGGTCAGTCATAAAAGCCTCACCTAGTGGAAATGTCACGAGCCGCCACTGTTCACAGGTGTGCCGTGTTAAATGTTTAAATCTGGCCTTTTCAGTAGACATGACGTTTTGCAAAAAATTATCATGAAGCTGCACACGACGTGGGGAGGTTATGAGAAAAGGAAAAAAAACAAAACGAGTTGGGGCCTGTGGATGAATGTTGTAACGTACTGTGGTGTTGTGTTCTCCTATGGAACTCCTGAATATCTATGGGCGAAAGATTAATATATGATCAATAGTTAAATAAACCAGTAATTGGCCATGCCCACAAAAGCGCTTTCTGCACATTTATCCATCAGCATCAATAAGCTTCCAAATTACCATTGTGCACATTCAACGCAATTTCCATTGTACCTGCTTTCGAATCGCTAGGAAGATGAGCCGACGTCAATTAAATGTATTAATCAAGCTTGCCATCTTGCTCGCCTCATCCTTAAGCGTGCCTCACAATATTAATACATTTTAAACACAACGTTTCGATTCCATCTTGATCACACCTCTTTCTTTTACGTTACACGTCTCTGTAACGTGACAATAAATGATGACTTAATCTAAATGATCTTTTGCAGCAATTTTTTTTATATCAATACATGTAAATATTCACTCATTTTTCTATGCAAATACTGACCTTTTATCTTAACTAATTATAAATCTACATTATCTAACGTTAATATGTGATTCTGAAATGAAAGCATTCTTTGCGGACCTGTGTAAAAGGCAAATCACACAGAGAGAAAACCACGCAGAAAATTCCCTTCATCACGTCAATAAGGAACGCGATTGTATAGGCCCAGTATGTCGTGAAACTAACGAACCCAGTTTCCTAATCACAGAGCTTCCAATAGCGAAGGGGGAATACTACACATACCTGTCAACCCATACGGTTTACCCGTATTCTTGTACAGATACATTGTTTTCAGGTCCATACGGCGTACAACCGTTTCAATACGGGCAAAAAAATGTCCATTCGTTTGTGTTCCTCCCTTATGATGGGACTTTGTAGGATGAACGTTTAGATTTCTAAAGGCAAGGGGTGACGAATAAGGTATCAATTTGTCTGCAATAAGGTAGAAACTGATAAGGGTTTGACAGGTATGCTAAAGGGTAACTGCACTTTTGCGAACTGCTGCTCCGAACTTTGCCACGGTGTGCATCATCATCATCAGGTAAGAGATCAGTTGTGATCCTGTCATAAATGAAAATAGATCTTGGTGCAGTAACTAAGCATTCAATACCTTTTTTAAAGTCAGTTAATAATGCTGATTTGAATCATTTGTAAGACAAACAAAATGATTCAGCTTAGTTTTCCCCTGCTGGTTCTCTGCGGCTATGTATCTCTCGGGGCCGACGCCCGCCTCCCCGCTCCCTCCGTGCGGGAAGGGCGCGCCGTCAACCCCCTCCATCACCCCTCCTCCTCGTCGGCCGCCTCTCGCCGGACCCCCGCCGATCGGGTGATTGCCCCCCCCGTGCCAGCTCCCTCTTTGAGGGACATCCCTAATTGGCTGGCTCACCACCGCCCAGGGTTATCTCCCACACGCCCACGTACCCCACCAGAAAAACGAACGCGGTGGCGTGCACGCGCGCGCCCTTGCAGGTGCGTGTTTTACACAAAGGCGCTAATCAAAAGAAATGGCGGCAGTATGAATATGCACGCGCCCCTCCGGGGGGTTCAGCCCTAATCTGCTAGCACACAAAGGCTAATGCTAAAGGTGCTCTATGAATATGCACGCACCACTGCGGGTGGCTTAGCCCCAATATGCTAGCACATAAATGCTAAAGAGCTGTATAAATACACGCGCACGCCTCGCCGTTAATGCTATTGCCGCTGTGTAAAAACGCTCTGTAAACGCCGACGAGCGGGTTTATCGCCCTATCTACTCACGCGCACACTGCAGGCGCGCGTTTTGCACACACGCGCGCGTAAACACGCGCTAGCGTCGGCGGCCGTGTATGTTTTAATACACGCGCGGCTCACACACGCGGTCAAATTACCAACATCGAGCCAATGCTGCAGCCCCACGCTCGCTCTCTCACGCACACCGTCTCCCCATGCAGTCACGCCACACACAAATCGCAGACACCACGCCGAGGTTCTATAAATACACACAGAAATCACACTGCACCGATACTCTGAACTGAAGTTTATTAATGGTGCAAATACACACTACCTGGAGGTGGAATATTTCGCGAGGAGAGCCTAGCCTAACTCTGCCTATGAACCCAGTCACACAAACGTCCTACGACGTACCTCGAAGCTGGACACGCGGCGTCCCACGGATGCTGAGAGAGTCGGAGGGAGGAGGACGAGGGAAGACTTGACCTATCACTGTCTCGTAGCAGCACTCGCTGGCATCACACGGATGCTGTGAGCGGCTCGAAGAGGCAGGACGGCAGGGAGAGGGTTTTGACCGCCCCTCTTGACCGCCCGGAGATTGAAGCCAAGAGAGCAAAATCGTTCCCTGGCTCTTGTTATGCTCTAAACTTCAAAGGCCCAGGGTGACGTCGTACCGCGCATCCAATGGGGCTCTTACCTGTGCTGCCGCTCCTTTTGACTTCTTCTCTCATGGGGGAGTGCTGCTGCTCCGCCCACCCATTGTTCTCCCATGCCCAGTAGTTCTAGTCTACTGGTCTGCTCTTTTTGCCTAATATTCCACCGTCAACCTCTCCCAATGTGGTGAATAACTTATTGCAGTTTGCCCAGTGAACCTTTTCCTTCTGCGCTCATAAAATGTTATGGCAATTTAGGGGCACTGCAGTGTAACCTGTCCTGTGAGGGTCGGCCAATCTCCTGGCACTGGGAAACCGTGGGACTCCATCTAGGGGCCCTTCAGATTAAATCCGATGTGCCAGGCAATCCCCCACCAGGATACTATGTGGGTGTGCTGCGTGCGGGTGTGTGTTTAGTGTGGGAGCCTGAAGGGAATTGCGGCGATTGCGGAGTTGCTCCACGGTCGTGGCACCACATAGCCCCCCGAGGTGCCCGTACCCGTCCCAGGCTGACTGGGTAGCTCCAACCAAGTAACGCCGGGGAGTCCGTAGGACTTGCCCGGCCCTTGTTGCCGGTTTTGTGGGCCGTGGTTGAGCTGTCCGAGGCTCCTGCGGCGATCTCCTATTCCATTCCAGAGGCTCCTCCTGTCCTCCTGCGTCTGCTGGCTGGGGAACAAACTCAGGGGCAGAGGAATTTAAGTGCAGCCGCCCCCATCACCTCCTTGCCAGGCCGGGGTCCGGCGTGAGGTCATTGGGTATGGGGGGCATGGGGGGTGCGGGGGCTCGGGGGTTTCAGGGTACCCGAAGGGTGGGTGCCTCCCCCGCCGGGGCCGCCCTCTACGGTTTTAGTCAGCGGATATTGACTACCGTCTCTCAGACCCTCTCCCCGCCCTGGATCAGTACCGTCCAGCGGGAGATCTGCCGCACCACGGTCCAGAGTCCGCGCAAGTAGGTGGTCAGCTTCCCCACCTGTCGGGCTCCTATGCGGGAGGTATGCAGCCATATCTTAGAGCCCGCTGAATAGAAGGGGGTCTCCTCACGGGGGCGGGCACCCCACTCTTGCCGCAGATGTGCGCCCCCCCTGTTGGTAGGCCCAGCCATGAGCACCCCACCGGGTCCCCATCAGGTGCTCCACAGGCTGGCTCTCTTCCTCGGGTTGTGGTGGGGGCACGCTGAACAACAGATCTGCTGGAAAGCGAGACTCCCAACCAAACATCATTAGGAAGGGGGTCTGCCTGAGTAGAAGTGTGCACCATGGTGGTTTAGGTGAATAGAGCGTAGGGGAGGTGTCCTTCCCAATCCTGCTGGTTGGCGGCCATGATATTTTTAAGCTTCCTGGCTCAGGTCTGGTTCATGCGCTCAACCATACCATCTGCCTGGGGGTGGTATGCCGTGATTTGGTCCTTCTGGATTCTGAACTCCCGGCACAGCGCCTGAAATAGCTCTCCCTCGAACTCACTACCCTGGTCAGTAATGACTCGTTCGGGGATCCCATGTTTAAGCACGTAATGCTCCTTAAATGCCCGGGCAACCACAAGGGCCATCTTAGCGGGGATGGTTACTGCCACTGGATAGCATGTGAAATATTCTTACCGCTACGAGAATATACCAGTTGCCTCGGTGGGATTGCAGAAATGGCCCCTGTAGGCGGAATTGCCTCAGGGGCACCTGATACCATGCTGGTTTCTGCCAACACTGTTGACAAGCGCGGCAGCCCTGTACCCAGGCGGCCGCATCTTTGTCAGTTTGGGCCAGAGCTACTGGCAACGCATGGTCTCCCGAGTGCGCCGTTCCCCATCATGGCCCCTGAGCAGCTGGTCGTGCACCAGCTGCAGCAGCTGGGGCCGCACCTAGGCGGGAACACGGATGCACCCCGGCTGCCCGGCTTCAGTTAGTTTCTGCACAACCCCGTTCTTTACACACAGCCAGGCATACAAACCACTCCAGGGTTCCTGTATGATGACTTTTTCCTCCCACAGGGCTGCCTCCACCGCCGCCAGGTCCGGGTCCCGCTGCTGGGCCTGTCGCAGCTGATCGTCATCCAGGCCTGGGAACGCACAGCCGACGTCATCTTAGATCCGACCGGGCAGGGCCGAGCGGCCCCTCGGGCTCCTGGGTGCGGGATCTGTGCCTGCCGGGCGGCACACCGGGCCCCCGGCTCCTTCCGCAGGGACCTTTGTGGCACACACGGCACTCTCTCTCAAGGGAGGGGGTTAGTCTCAGTGTGTTCCAGAGGGGCCGTTGCCTGTTGGCAGCGTCCCCCCATGAAGCACGGGCAGGCCTCCTCAGCCTGTGTCTCGGAGCACACCGCAGGTCGCTTTGACAATGTGTACACATTTGCGTGCGTCCGTCCAGACCTGCATTCGATCTGCAGGTTATACTCCTGCAGCTGCGTCATCCACCGGGCCATCTGCCCCTGCAGTTCCTTGAATATGCGGAGGAACTGCAGAGCATAATGGTCATTACGCACGTGACATTTCCTGCCATACAAATACGGCAGGAACTGCTTACATGCGAAAATCACAGCATACAGTTCCTGACGGGTCACGCAATAATTCAGTTCGGCCCCGCTCAGGGTCCGGCTGGCATATGCAATGAACCGCTCCGTCCAATCCTGCACCTGTGACAGCACAGCGCCCAGCCCACTGCTGCAGGTGTCGGTGTCCAGGATAAATCTGTGGAAAAGTCATGGAAAGCCAGCGTGGGGGTATGGGTAAGGTGGTCCTTGAGGGTGGTGAAGGCCGTCTAGCAGGCCTCTGTCCACTGATAGGGGTTCTTAGGGGAAGTGAGTTGGGTGAGGGTGTGTGCAATCTCGCTGAATCCCTTCACAAATAGTCAATAATAAGTGACTAGCCCCAAAAATGACCTGATTCCCTTCTCCACCTGCCAGTACCCAGACGGTAGATCGAGGGTGGAAAAATACCATGCCCCTGCGAGGCTTTCAAAGGTGTCATCTAACTGCGTTCAACTTTCAATAATCATCACAAAAACCGGGTCAACCCATCTTTTTTCGTCACCAGTACAACCGGGGAGATCAGGGGCTCAATGAGGGATGGATCATGTTATCGTGGAACATATCCGCGACCGCCTCTTTAATCTGGGCCCGTTCGGGTGTGCCTACCCGGTATGCGGGGAGATTAATGGGTCGGGCGGCACCTGTTTCAATTTGGTGCTTACGAGATCTGTCCGGCCCACATCCGAATCATGCTCACTAAACACATCAGCGTACTCCCACAGTAACCCTTGTAGCTGATCAGCCTCCCCTTGGGTAGATCTGCCCGGGGTGCCTATAGCACGTCAAGTAGGGGAACAATCTATGCTCTGGGAGTCGGACCGACCCGCCAGGCCAGGTCCTGGTCGTCCTCAGGGCGGCAGGGGTCCTCAGCCCAGAGGGCATACACCAAGCTGTTAGAGTGGCGTGCATGCAGGGGGTGTACTGTGGCTACCGTAGTGGGCCATCGCAGCGTTGCTGGGGTTTTGTAGGCAATAAAAACCCGCATAAACAGTCGGCCCCTGTCCGCGTTTACTAGTGTGGCTCACCCCACAACCGCGTACTGTGCCTCCAACTCCGGGTGAGGAGTCAGCATTACCTCACCTGATGATCGGTGTGCGGGGTCGGTGGAGGGTGTTGCCATCAGCAACAGCATCTCCGTGAGATGCCCGATGGTGACGCCGACACCAGGGTAGCGGACACAGAAGTGAAGTGGGGGCGATCCGGCTCTTGTCGCAGGAACGTAATCCGCTCCTGGCTGCCCTCCACGGTGGTGCATCGCTGGTGGGGCTGTACATTGATTGAGCCCCAGCTTTTCCAGGAGGTCGGTACCTGCAATACACTCGTGGCACAACACGCTCGATGTAGAACTCTTGGTCACACACCTGGTGTCTGAGACGGACCTCCAGGGTGACCCTCCCCAGCAGTCCCATCCCAGCTCAACTCGCAGTGTGCAGCGCACGGTCCGGGGCCTTTAGGTGGCCCACGTTAACCCCGACCACGTTGCAGTGTGCTGTGCTCACGAGCGAGGCTACAGAATCCGAGTAAGCCGCCCGATTACCTGCCCTTCCACCAGCGGCCAGGCCCCTGTTTATTCCTACCACCAGCTCCCACAGCCAGTCGCTCGCAGTTGCCGCGTCCTTGGATGTTGATGTCGGCATCTGCGTGGGGGTCACTCGCTCACCAATATCGCCTAATTGTGTTGGGACCGTGTCGATTGCACCCCCAGTTGATCCACTCTCTAGGGGGTGTTGGCGTTTAACTCTGGTGTGTGTCTAGAGTGGGCAATCTGGGGACAGTCTCTCACGAGATGCCCCCAACGGTCGCGTAGATAACATGCCTGGGGAAGGGTGGCAACTCCGTAGGAGGTCCCCTGCCCATCCCCCCTCCCCCCCCCCCACCCCCCCCACCCCCCCCCCCCCCCCGATACGCATCTGCCCGAGCTCTGGCATGAACTGGGACACCTGCCCGGTCAGCCCCCCTACCGTGGAGCGAAGTCCCCCCACCTCAGCTTGGACTACCTCCACTGTGGGCTGCAATTTGTTCATATTTCGGGTCACTTCCTCACGTACTCGGGTCACCTACTCGCGTGCTTGGGTCACCTCCCCGCGCAAATGGGTCACATGCCCGGCTATATCTCCTATGCCAGTCTGTATCCCTGCTACTCATCCCGGGGTTGTCTCATGTAGTCCCGGAGGCTCCCATGCCCCCCCCCCCCTCACCATCCTGGCGAGCTCCTCCTCCTATGGAAGAAGGCTCGCAATGGCGTGCTCCCGTACCAACCCTCGGAACTGCGCGCGTGCATTAGCGCATCTCTCGCATGCACGTACACGCTCAGCAAGGGAGTTACATTGGAGGCGCGCGCAGCTCACATCTGGCTGCCACCACGAGGTGCCAGTCAGATATCGCTGGACCTTCACAGCGGCAAGGTCCAAAATGATTTCCGCAGCATACCCCAGGCGCGCATCTAATGCCGCCTTCGTTTCCTCCTCATTGCACGTGCTGAAGCGTTGGTCGAGTCGGCGTATTAGTTACCCCCACTGCCCTCTACGAGTACCATCACCTCTAGCAGCAACCTTCACCGTAAACAGTGAGTGTGTAAAGCGAGGTGCAATGATTAATTGGCAACCCTTTAATTGGTGGAAACACACCACCAGCGTAGTTTTCACCCTCTACGAGTACCATTACCTATTACACCTCACTACATCACCTTCTAGCACCCCCTACCTGCTGGGGCACACCGTCTTTAATCCCTTGCATTAACATTAGCTGCCCCACCCATGCTGCTGACACTTGGGCTACACCCATTTTAAACCTTTATAAAAGTTTGCCTTTAGAGGATAACCCCCCTTTTCCTGATGACGACCGCTTGTGTTGCGATCAAAACGTCGAAGTTTTTTCGTTATTTTCTTTGAACCTATCTACGTGGCTTTACCGAAAAACCCAAATAATATGAATTCCTGCAGTCACGAACGCTTCAAATCAAGATATATCAAATTAATATAAACAATCAACTGCCTTCTTCTGTTTTATAAAATATATACATCCCAGCATTTGCCAAGAAATAAATACATTAAAGAGCCCATATGTGTCTTAAACACTCTATGTGGTACAGTTCAGTGAACATTACACACATATACAGATTCAGTCTAAAGCGAGTAGCTGATTCGATGCCAAAAATAATCGGATGAAGATCATTTAGAGTAAGATAATTAGCCTAGGTGCTGGCCACAACTAATTTCTCACAATTAAACTTGTGTTTTACGTGTATGCGGTTTATATAGGTTCCATATGAATTAGATAATGGGTATATTGCAATTGGTGTATGGCTTGTCTATTTCACGCAAATTATACCATTTAATGTAGAACTATTTATCCAAGCATTTACTCCTGATGTTTATTTTCGTAATGACTAATTACAGAGAGTGAACATTCAACACGTGGTGGATGCTCGCTGCACGAGCGATATAGACGTACAGAGTAAGCATTTATCTTGCTGATGCACCACTCAATAAGCAGCGGTTTGCTAAACCCAGCGTAACAATGAATACATTGTGAGAGGTTGACAATTGGATTGCCACCGAAGGGGAACGCTCAGCCCTATATATAGTGCCCCGGCAGCCTCAACTAAGTGCACTCCTCTGCGCTGACAACCACAGCCTCACCATGAAAAAGGTAAAGTGGTAAAGTATCGGTGTGTTGGTAATACACAATTCAGCTGAGCATCGTTTTTACGTAAACGGTACACGCCATTGTATTGTCAATATGAGGTGGGATAAAGAGGTGGTTGTTTGAAAGTACATACATTTGGTTTGCTAATAAGAACAATCAATATGTGTGCCTGTGCCTATATACAGCGTGTCACACACATACACACATATATCGCACAGCGTTCACCATTGTAGCTCTAACTACTCACTCACTGAGTACTCATTCACTGAGTACGTAGTGGGGATTCGTGACATTGCTGATGGTTCACACTGTGCTGCAAGTGTGGCCACATACAATGAGGGAAAAAACGTATTTGATCCCCTGCTGATTTTGTACGTTTGCCTACTGACAAAGAAATGATCCGTCTATACTTTCAATGGTAGGTTTATTTGAACAGTGAGAGACAGAATAACAACAAAATCCAGAAAAACGCATATACCAAAAATGTTATAAATTGATTTGCATTTTAATGAGGGAAATAAGTATTTGACCCCCTCTCAATCAGAAAGAAATCTGGCTCCCATGTGTCTTTTATACAGGTAACGAGCTGAGATTAGGAGCACACTCTTAAAGAGAGTGCACCTAATCTCAGTTTGTTACCTGTGTAGAGGAATAGTGGAGGACGTCATGTCACTCTGGGGGGTGAAAAGGGATGACATCAGAGGTTACGGGGGAAATATGAGGGGGAACCCGTGACGTAGAGGGGGTCGTCGCGAAGGACCAGGAACGGAGAGAGTTAGGGAGTCAGGGTCGAGGGTAGGGGGAATTAGCGCCAGGCTAGAGTGATACTTCACCCGGCCGACCGAGTTGGATGATCCCTCGGTCGGTGCTGAGGGGGAGATCACGTATAGCCTGGGTGGAGCTAGGGACCTCCCAGTACCCTTTTCCCCTGGGGAGACGTTAGGGTTGTCACCTGTTAGGCGTAAGCCTTTGATAAGTTACCGGCAGTAGCCCTTAATAAACCTTGGCATCAGCCCCTACTAAAGAACTGTGTCAGCGTCGTCAGTTGCACTACAACACCTGTATAAAACACACCTGTCCACAGAAGCAATCAATCAGATTCCAAACTCTCCACCATGGCCAAGACCAAAGAGCTCTCCAAGGATGTCAGGGACAAGATTGTAGACCTACACAAGGCTGGAATGGGCTACAAGACCATTGCCAAGCAGCTTGGTGAGAAGGTGACAACAGTTGGTGCGATTATTCGCAAATGGAAGAAACACAAAAGAACTGTCAATCTCCCTTGGCCTGGGGCTCCATGCAAGATCTCACTTCGTGGAGTTGCAATGATCATGAGAACGGTGAGGAATCAGCCCAGAACTAGACGGGGGAATCTTGTCAATGATCTCAAGGCAGTTGGGACCATATTCACCAAGAAAACAATTGGTAACACACTACGCCAAGGACTGAAATCCTGCAGTGCCAGCAAGGTCCCCCTGCTCAAGAAAGCACATATACATGCCCGTCTGAAGTTTGCCATTGAACATTTGAATGATTCAGAGGACAACTGGGTGAAAGTGTTGTGGTCAGATGGGACCAAAATGGAGCTCTTTGGCATAAACTCAACTCGCCTTGTTTGGAGGAGGAGGAATCCTGCCTATGACCCCAAGAACACCATCCCCACCGTCAAACATGGAGGTGGAAACATTATGCTTTGGGGGTGTTTTTCTGCTAAGGGAACAGGACAACTTCACCGCATCAAAGAGACGATGGACGGGACCATGTACCGTCAAATCTTGGGAGAGAACCTCCTTCCCTAAGCCAGGGCATTGAAAATGGGTCGTGGATGGGTATTCCAGCATGACAATGACCCAAAACACACGGCCAAGGCAACAAAGGAGTGGCTCAAGAAGAAGCACATTAAAGTCCTGGAGTGGTCTAGCCAGACTTCAGACCTTAATCCCATAGAAAATCTGTGGAGAGAGCTGAAGGTTCGAGTTGTCAAACGTCAGCCTCAAAACCTTAATGACTTGGATAAGGTCTGCAAAGAGGAGTGGGACAAAATCCCTCCTGAGATGTATGCAAACCTGGTGGCCAACTACAAGAAACGTCTGACCTCTGTGATTGCCAACAATGGTTTGCAGAGGGGTCAAATACTTATTTCCCTCATTAAAATGCAAATAAATGTATAACATTTTTGACATGCGTTTTTCTGGATTTTGTTGTTGTTATTCTGTCTCTCACTGTTCAAATAAACATACCATTAAAATTATAGATTGATCATTTCTTTGCCAGTGGGCAAACGTACAAAATCAGCAGGGGATCAAATACTTTTTTCCCTCACTGTAGGTTCAAATCCTGGGTGTTATATTTTACCTTGAAATCCCTCGAGATGGAACTTCTCTTTGTAAAGGGTGTCCAGGGTCTCAACTGACATGGAACAAATACGTGACACATAAGCAAACATTTAAAATCTATTATTAATACAATATGTGTGTGTGTATAATCTAATATCACACCCAAACAAAAGACGGCTGTTTCTGAATCTGTTTTTCTTTTCACTGCAAGAGGCTTTTGTTGGTGAATTCTGAATCATACTAACAATATTTTAATTTAAATAAAGAGTAAAATTTTGGGGTTTTTTCATTATCTAATTCTATTTGCTTCATTGTTGAACTTGTTTTTTCATGCTCTTGTTTTTGTAATTCGGTGGCCCAGGTTACTCTTGAAAATGAGACTCATCCTGGCATCAAGGGTTTTCATCTGGCTAAACAAAATGCAATTGCAATTGGATTTGAACATGTTTGTAGACATCATAGCATAGTGGTCGTTTCTTTTTCACAGTCACGGAAAAGAAACGGAAGATTTTCTCAGAGTAAAGCCAATTTGTCGAAATATTGAGAATTTCCTTTCCTCTGAATGACAGTACTCAAATATATAAAACAATGTAGTATATTTAATAAACCTATGATTCTACGTGTAAGTTCACTAAGCAGCAACTTTACAACCTTTAACGGCTCGTGAAATCTGGCGTGTGTGCCCCACACTCTGTTGCGCACCGCAGATCATCTTCTTCGAGGAGCGGGACTTCAAGGGCCGCCGCTTTGAGTCCAGCCAGGACTGCATGAACCTAGCGTCGAACCTGAGCCGCTGCAACTCGATCCGCGTGGAGGGCGGCGCCTGGGTCATCTACGAGCGTCCGGACTTCAAGGGCAACATGT